ATGTTTGACACTGAAAAAGATTGCAATCTGTAGCAAAGATTGTATCGAAGTGAGGGGGGACTTCAGATTGATTTAAGCAAAATTTTCTGTAAGGTTTCTTTTAATCTCTACAACATGACGCTGCTCTGCTTAAATCTGTCTATGCTTTTCAAGCAAATAAGAAATATTTTGTAATTATTTCCCCTTAGTGAGACAACTATTATAGCACAAGTGTCCAACAACACAAGGACTGATATCAAAACATTTTGAACAATAATATTAATCCCATGTTCCACAAAATAGTTAAAGAGTAAAAGGACTTCCATATTTAAAAACAGAGTAAATGGGTATTTCGAGGTTTCTTCAGCAGGGGCAGCTTAACTTCCTCTTTGTTTTGTCTATTGATTCCAGCGTACTCTAGCTCTCTGTGCCAAGCCAGCAAACCACCCACCAGCTGTCCTTGCAATGTCAGGAATGTGAATAGCAGTTTGATAAAGCCACATATGGCATGCTGCTCCAACCTCTCCATAAGTGCCATTCCTGATGTGGTGTCACATAAATGAAGTCGATAAACATTGATCAGGATGGAGGGGGTGGAAAGTCCTATAGATGCTGGTGAGTCAGTGTACACATAAGCGCACAGGTGATGCAGGTTTGCAAGTATGCTTCTTTCAGGCTGTCACATAAGGTGTTAAACCTCTTTATGCTGGCTCAAAAAGTAAATATCTAAAAGTGCTAAATTACGCTGCTCAATTCTGGCACCAAAACAACATTACTGCCATTTATCTGTTTAATAAATGCTCTTATTTTTTATTCAAAACACCTGACTTGTGCTCTGCTAATATGTGAATACAGTAGCTGTGTTAAAACAGCAGATATCTCCTTGCAGAGGTTTTCTGCACCTACATTGTCTTTTTATTATTATTATTTTTTATTACATGGTCTTATTCCTCATGGTGGCATTTAGACGAACCCAATTTTGAAGTAAAATCATTTTAAACAGACTGTTGTAATGAAAAGATTTACTTGAAAGGATCAAGACTGTCCGCTCACTGGTTCCTCTAAAGAGTCCACAATGACAATTTTATGCTACTGAACTACAGAAGGAATTATTTTAAGACAGTTATGAGAGATGTGGTGTCCCTTATTTACTAGGCTCACTAACTGATGGTTAAACCTGACTACTTGACACTTAATATTACTGTACTTAAGTTCAAATCAAAAGTTTATCCTAAAAATGATTAAAGTTTAAAGTTTATTAAGATAATGTACAAAAAATGCCTTTAGTTTGATGTGTCTAAAGAAGAGTCGCTTTAACTTTTTTCTTTTCAAATGGCATTTGCAAAACAAACAAATAAAACTATGAACAACGCAATTGTAAGTAAGTCAGTAAGCGTAACTCAATAAATGAAACGATAAGTTAGTAAGTGAATAAATAAAACAACTTTCACCGCAATGGATAAAGTTGCTTTAGTGCTGCATGAACAAGACATCCTCTCATCCTTTCTTTTGTTACAGCGACAGCTGAACCAGCAGTTGAAGCTTGCTAAGCGACAGGGTCAAGGACGAGTTCATGTTGCAAACAGAATGGAGTTTATCAATATTCAAATATTTAGACAAATTTGATAGGTTTATGGATAACAAAGTGCAGATCATTAATACGATCTGTAATGCCGACTGACAGAAAAGTGGAGATTTCTGGTGGAACAGCACCAGTTCTATTGCTGGGTATTTTAGAGCTGAATATGGATATTGGTTTGCTCAGTGCTCCAGTCATGTTGCTGAGCCTCTTCTTTCCTCGATATTGAATACCCCTTGTCTTACGTTATGTAACCTTCTGTTGGTGCCACCAGTGCTGACAGTGGCAGAACACAAGGACTGTACATGTCTAAAAATGTCCTCCTAATACCCCCTCCTGAGTCTTAGATGTGAAAGTAAAAAGGACAAGGCGTTGCTGTGACATAAAACAGTAGGGAGCAGAGCTAGTGGAGGAAAAAAAAACTTTCTTTCTCTCTGTGGTCTAAATTCTGGTGACCGAAAAATCATCATACTTTACAAAATCATCCCAGTTATTCAACTTCCACTGTTGCCACCAATAAGTTAGTAAAAATTCTTGAATAAAAATATCTACCTTCCACCTTTATTTTTGTTCTCTCCAAAGACAGATAAACTAGTGAGAAAAACATATTGATATTACCATTAAAATATGTCAGTGCTAAGCAGACTGTTTCCTTGTGAATCTCATTGCAAGAGTGTTGGAGCAGCTTTTGAGTTGGAGCAGTGCTCCCTATCCAGTCATTCATCAGTATTTAAGGGCAAGAGACTTGGATTTAACCTTAAAACATTTTAGTGGCAATAGCTAAATACAGCCCAAAGCTAAGAGAAAGGGTCATAAAGCACTAGTTTTATTGCACTAACATGTCATAAAGGTAATTTTCTTTTCTACACACACACTGCTCTAAAAACTTCTTTTCCTTGAACTATAACCACAGCCTCAAGTGGACCACTTCACATTCTCCAAAGCCAGTTCGGAGACAGGAACCTTGAAGCAAAGTATTAAATCACTGAAGGCGATATAATGCTGGACAGATGAAGTTGCTGCTGTATTTAGGATAACAGTGTAGTTATTTGCCAATTTACTCACACATCCTAAAGAGCTGAGCACAATCCCCTTACTGCAGAGACACATATGAAGTCTTCTGTTCTCACATGGTGAATATAACAATGGAGCCAACTTTACCATTAAATGTATTAGTCATTCCGGATGAAAAATGGATAGTCATTTCTAGCTAATTATAATAGCACCTTTTACCAAATAGATTTTATTAGCTAGTGCTGTTTCTGGCTCACTTCTTTCTGCTTTAGATCAGGTCATTTAAAAAAAAAAAGGATGAAAGTTTCCATTAATCTGATGCCTGCAATATAATGTGAAATAATTGAAGCTAAAGCTGTATGTCCCAGGGAAAAGTCTGCATCACCAGCTAATGATTTTAGACATTCAAATAAAAAAGCTGTTGTTTTTTTAAGATAAAACAAGTATAATAAATCACAGGCCTAATTATAGCTGAGCAGCTTCGCTTACGCACTTGCTTGCTACATAGGATACCTGAATAAACAAGATAGAAAACGTGGCTTTTACGTTTTTTGTCTGTCCACCTGTATGTTTCTTTTTTATTATTATTACAGCCCTTTTAGTGAAAACTGTAATAAACTCAGAGCTGGATATTTGGTAGTGTGTGAACCTTCATGAATCCATCACAGAACTGCAAGTAGTCTATAAACTACAAGTCGGACAAAATTTGTGGCAGAAATCTGGCACCTACAGACATTAGACAAATACACCACAGTATATGCACTACTCTGAGTAGAGACTTTCAAAATATGAAATTTTCCTTGGCTTTAAAAGCAGCTCAATTATTGCTGTTGCTGGTAAATAGTTAGCTTGCAATCCTTAGCGTAATGTTCAGTTAGAACCTCTCAGTCAGATGACTGTATTTCAAAGTTAGACGTAGCTTTTGGATATCATTACGACTGTGGTCTAATTTGTTCGTTTTAAGTCTGGTTGAACACAACATGATGCTCACATAATGCATTATTGCTCCCATGGAATCCTATATAGGCTATAGCCGTGTGTGCTTTTAGGGTGGAGTGGTAAGGTGTGCAGCATCCCTTGTTTCCTTGACTTGTGTTGTCAAGATAAAAATGCTCAGCTCAGTGCTTCATGACTCGTCTCCATTAACCAGTGGGTGATGTCACATTGGCTATTGTCATTATTAATATACAGAGGATGGGACAACTATAGTAAAAAGTAATTTCCCTTCTGTAATTTCCATCTGCAGTAGTTTGGCAGCATGGCACTGTTGGGCCTCGTAATTGAAAGAGCAATGCCTAACGTAAAATTCAACCCTTTTAATCAGCTTCAGATATTATGTCTGCTTTATTCATCAACAGGCCTCAGCTGGTCATGAAAGTGATTGTCAGTCAGTTGTTAGCCAGCTGTTAGTTATCAATTAATTTTGAAATGGGGAAAGTATGAAAATGGCTGTAATTCCCAAACACTTAATATGTTTTTTTGTAAAACCCCTTGCATTAAAGCTACATGTCATGCACAATATAGATCTAACTGTACCTGGAAATAATACGTGGGGAGAGCAAGAGCGCTCAGCTCTTCGCATTAATAACACTGCCAGCAAAAACACTTGCTTATATTGTCTGCTGAGCACATTGTCCACATGTGTTTTTGTACTTCATGTCTTTAAGGCTGAGTGTTAATTCTCAGCATTTCACGTTTTGGTTGAGGATTTGGTTCAAATTTCTGAGCAAAGGTAAACAAATAATATAATATTGAGATCAAAACAAGGAGTCGTAAGAGTGTGGTGGTGGTGGCCTGCGGGGTGATGATGGACTGAGGCCTATGCAGACAGTTGGTCATCACAGTCTCTAGGATCCTGGAGATTGTTCTTTCTTTGCTGATCCATCGGGATGACACCTTATGGGTCAGCTGATACCCTTCTGTGCTGCTGCTGATGTAGCTTGGCACGGGCTTGGCACTGAGTCGCAGGCCCACATAGGGTTTTGAGACAGATTTTCACACAGATCCACAAATGTAAGCTGCATTCAAGTCCTATTTGAAAACTGGGACATCTGGTCTTCCACTGTATTCTTTTTGTAAGTAAACAGAATAGCTCATCACACCTCAACTAGATAACATAGATTTAGCCTTTTTAATACAGTCGGGTGTAGACCAAACCTGCTGCTGCTGACTCATTTTCTGAATAACTGATAAGTCTGTTAGTGTTTTCTGCATCAGAAATTCTAAGCAAAAGATTTTGTTTTTTCTCTTCCAAAACTTTAAACCTTGCTAAATAAAATACACCCATACCTTTCTAGTGATTACATATAGTGAATTAGCCTTTTTCAAATACCCTGTGTTGGTTCTCAAAGGACGCTTTATAAGCAAGAGTCTGTCAAAAAAGGCATTTGCAACTCTTATCATAGATAGTAATTTAATGAGAGGCACTTATAATAGACTCTAGCACAATTAGATGTTTCATGACAACCTTTGGGAGTACAATTAATCTCTCAAATGAAATTGGTCTCAGTGCTCAATATGTCACCCAGTGGGATGCATCTTAATTTCTATTCATTGACCCTGCATGAATTAAAGCTCATTTCCTCAACGTGTAGCTTTGTGGTGGCTGCCACAGCAGGATGCAGGCTTTCAGTCGCACTAGCTCAGAAAAACGTCCCCTCTTCCCATTTGATTCAAGGATTAGATCTGATTACAGACTTGAGCTGAACAACCTCTGTGACAGCGGAGCAATCTCCTTTTCTTTGAATCTTCTTGTTAAATTTACATAAAATTGATGGGATTTTGTCTTGAGTTTCTTTTCATTCTCCCATGTTTCATGAGCACAACAAGAGCGTGTCACAACACAGTAAAATAACCAGCCATGGACAAAGAACCAGGGAGTTAGGCGTTAACTGATATTATTATCAGCAACTGCTGTTGAGTTTAAAATCCTTTATAATGACATTCATCTATTGTCATTGGTTTGCACCTATCTAGAAACAATAAACCCGTAACTCTACATATGTTGTTTCTAATAATGTTACCATTGTTCAACAACAACACAAAGACATGTTTCGCTTTTTCGCTTTGGTGGAAGTGTATTGTGTAAGTGGGAATGTAAACATAGTTTTGACAGCAGTTCTCAAACCATGAAGAGAACCATGTGCCACACAAGCAAAGAAATAATACAACCAAAACTCCTTACGCACTCATAGTCCACATCTACTATATGACAGGTCGCCAGCAATAGAAAACAAGTAATACATCTTTTTTTTTTGCGTAGTCATGAAAATATCTGTTTTATACAAAATTAAATACAGTTACAGTATGTTACACCTTTTTTCCCCCCATACAGGTGAGTTCAAGCATGACTACAAAGCCTCTTAAAAAACAAACAAAAAAAAACATACTAGATTGGTACTTTTAGGGAATTGAAAACGCATGTGCAGCTTTTGGCAAAACAACAGACGCCCTTCCGCAAAGTAAAATCACCAGGGTCACCAAAGCACATGAAGGAGAAAGTGAGGGAAAAGAGGAAAGGAGAGAAGATGGTAGCAAGTAAGGAAGGAGGCAGTGAGGCAACATGATTTTAGTCCCGTCCACACTATTATATATGTATATATATATATATATATATATATATACTTTTTTTTTTTAAACTTCAGATGATACTTAGAAATCATGTGTCTAGTTTTATACAGTTTGCTCTCAGGATGTGGGTATCTTTATCTGAGTGGAGTATCCAGTCTGCCTTTATTGAAGTATAAGCCAATGACAAGATCACAAAGCAAAGGCTCCAACCGTTTCCTCTGGGAAGTTATAAGACAGCAGTGATTTCACCAGACCTTTCATAAATCCTTCTATCATTCAGTATAACACATCAGTGCACAGCCATTTGCGCTAATAACACTGCCATCCACCACTGTGGCCTTGGATATACAAAAAAGAGTTGCTTATATTGTCTGCTGAGCACATTGTCCACACATTCTTTGTTCTTCATGTCCTTAAGGTTGAGTGTTCATTCTCAGCATTTCATGTTTTGGTTGAGGATTTGGTTCAGGTCCCTCAGCAAAGGGAAACGAATAATAGCGGGAACACTACAAGGGTAAGAGTGTGGTGGCGGCCTGTGGGGCGATGATGGAGCGAGGCCTGTCCAGACAATTGGTCATCGCAGTCTCCTGGACCCTGGCAGCGAGTTCTCTCGCACAGGATGCCCGTGAAGCCGGGGGAGCAATGGCAGCGTTGATGGTGGTGGCACGTGCCACCGTTCTGACAGCGCAGCATCGCGTTGTCACACACCCGAGCTGCACAGACAAAGCAGAAAGGGCAGGGGAGACAGGAAAGCGTGATTAATAGATCACTCAGTGATAGGGCGGCAGAGAACATCAACAGGCAGGTTCACGGGGCACAAGCTGCCTCTTCCTGTCCTGTCTGTACTGCTCTGTGTCCTTAGAGCACAGCTGACACATTAGAGAGGGTAAAGCCAAGGACTTCAGAAAGTGTGCAAAAAAAGGAAGAGGACACCGACAGCAAGGGTACATATTAAAAGAATATAATGCTGCCAACAGCCTCTGAAAATACTTAACAAAGGAACACAGACATTGTATGGATTCATGGATATTTTTAGTAGCGCCAAAGGGACTTTATAGCAAATAATTCTGGCAAAACAAAAGAGCAAGCAAACCATGGCTCTGATGAGGTGAATTTAATTATTTGAGAATCAAAGGATGCCAGAGTATTGTGAAACAGCCCCTCTGTGCTGAGGTGAAGAGAACAGAAAGAGGAGAAGACACGGGATGGATACCTGGCTCCATCACATCACCACAACCTTTCATATGCAAATGAGCATTTCCAGGTATTTCACCAGTAGCTGTTATTTTCTTCTCTGTAGTTAACCTTACAGCAAGCAATACAACATTGTCAGAAGAAGGATGTAATATCAGTGGCTGGAGTTTTACCGGCTAACAAACATTTCTTTGTTTTGATGTAGGCTGATTAGGACTACATAAGTTAATATCCACATTTCCAGGCAAAAACTCACAACTCAATTATCCCAGGAAGCCTCTCTGCTTGCAGAGGTGAAATCCTGGAAGAGGTAATATTTGCCAAGAGATTTCAGTGTAATTGGATATCTCTCCTTGCATAAATAGTAATCACATTTTTGGTTTTCAGTAATGTGGCTCATGCATCAGAATAAACTCAACAAATAATCATTGCTCATGCCAAAACCGATTAAGAAGGCATTGGTATTGCATTTAACTTAATAATATTCCCACCCACTGCACATAGACACCACTGCTGTTATGCACTTTAAATGGAAATTCCAGCTGTGGACACAGGGTTTTATCTTTAATATAGGATTTTCAATAACTTTGCGATGAAGTGTTGGAAATGATGCTTCTGGTAGATCTGCTTTTCCTGACATGTCTACATCTTCTTTGAACAGTCTCCAGACTTGTTTTGTGTTAGCCTTGTTATGTTTAATGGCCTTTCTGTGCTTTTATTTAAAGCGTCAATAACAGTGGCACTAAACAAGCAAATATGGTAGTCAAACCCTTTATTTTAATAGTAAGTTTGTTACTGTATGCAAAAGTTTTTTTCTTTGTGTAGCTGTTTAAAAGAATGAGTCTGGAAAGGAGAGTTCTAAAAAAGACCCAAATGCAGAAGGGCGGGTAAGGCAAACAAAGGTGAAATTTAATGAAATTTACTAGAGATGAATAACAAAAAGATGCTGGAGGGTTAAGACGTGTAATATCAACAAGCCAATAAAATAAAAAGCAAAGAAACAACCCACCCCACCAAATAAAACAGTAAGAGAAAGAAATAAGCAAGTGAAAATGGGCAGGAAACACAAAATAACTCACACATGCACTAACAGCTGACTAAAAAACATAACAAGTAAAACTAACAGGGTTGGGAAAAGCAATCAAACTGACTGAAATAGAGACAAGGACAGGGCAAGACAAAGCATGACACATAAGCTAAGTAACACATGAGACAGGAATATAATTTACATGTAGATATATGTAAATGCAATAAACAAACTAAACTAATTAATAATAAAATGGGCCTATGGCAAATCCAGTCTCTGTACACGGCTTGAATGTTGTGGGACTTTCAGATTACAACCATTTCATAACTAAATAGGTTGCCAATCAAATGTCAATGCATTAATCGTGTCTTTCTGTTGTGTGAAACTGACTGACTGGACCACCACGTGGGAACAATGTTGTAGTTGTTGCTCTCAAAGAAGGGACAAATATGACTGGGGAGATATTTTAACCAGGTGTGGTGGGAATGGACTCATGAATTATGGGTCCAGAGTGGGCGCAAACATTAATGGCCCTCTCGCAATTCCCCAATCAGTGATTTCTAGTCAGTTAAAAAAATAAAAATTCTAACAGCTAATGCAAACACCTGCTCAGTGTGTTTTGGAAAACACTTCAAGTCTCAGTAGTTTAGTCAACACATTAACATTGTTGCCTGTGGCCGAAGGATAATCTGTGTATCCTCCAGCAGACCCTCAGGACCATTACCTCTCTAAAAGCATCTGTAAAACCAATTAGTTTGCTTATGCAGAGGCTTAAGACTGTTCTGTCTTTGTTGTGCTGTCGTGACAAAAGATGCTTTACGCTATAAATTAATTATTATTTTTTTGTTATCTAAAGTGAAATGAAAACTTTCTCAGTTGGTTGTATTATAGTAACAAAGGACAGCAAACCAAGCATGGTAGAATACAACATCCACAAAGTAAACTATCTGGATGCAATACATTTCACATAACCATGTACAGAGTGGACAACAGAAGAAGAACAGATTGGCTTACATCCACCCCAGCCCTCAACCCAGAGTGCTCCCTAGGTTTAAAATTGGGGTGTGGAACGTTTGTTAAATTACTTACTTTTTTTTTTTAAAGAATAAATCGTATTTATTTTCTCAGCTCTTCTGCTATCGCTGAAGTGACTAATACTTTTATCATGAAGTCTTCGTATATACCCAATATTTTTTAAACTATTGGACAAACATTAGAGTAAATCTATTACTCAGTTCTCCCCTGTGGTGATAATAGTTGTCAAGTTATATCAAGAAATATTCTATAAAGACAACAAATGCACCCAGTCTCTCCAGGCCTGCAATCTGAAGCAGCAAGATCATATAATCTAAAATAATTCCTGACATGAATATTTAGTCAAGACCTGCTATTAGATGTGGTTTACTAACACTAGGTATCACACCATCTTCCATGAGAGAAAAGTGTCTTTTGAATCGGAAGATGTGAATGAGAAATTCATTATTATGGGTAGTTTAAATTTCCTGAGCTAGATTGTTATGTAGTTTACTTTTTTAAGTGACACATTAAATAAGTGCACTGGCAGTGAAAGTTAAACTGTCCTCCTGCTTCAAACCCATCCAGTGGCACATATGCATCTCTTAGTCAATAGGCAATGGAGCGGATGCTGGCAGCACAGTAATAATGTGGGAAATTTGGCAGAGCTGGTCCTCCTTCTATCTTCAATTTACATAGATGAGCCTTTCCCATGTAAGAATAATGGAATCTGAAAGGACACTGTGGGACACTGTAGGGAGCGTCCCTGTAGAGATTCCTCACTGTATGCCACACCAGCTCTTAGCTTAAAATTTGTAGTCTTCAGTCTGGCTCGGAGGAATTAATGAAAACATTAAAGGGCTATTTTTCAGCCTTTGTAAAGCACCCTCCAGAAGACATTAAAAATCCCCCCCCCTTTTTTAATGCAGTGGGTCTACAAATTTACCCTGTGTGACATCATTCACTCTTGGGCTTGTGCAAGTGAAGACACAGCAATTCCAGTCGTACCCAAGGACCGGCGTACTCTGCGGGAGACATATGTGCACCTCACACCTCTGTCACATGTGTGACATTTTAGCAATATAACTGTTATGACAGAGCCACTCTGGGGTTTTGGTGCTGCACGAAGCAACATGGAGAACATTTACCAAAGCAACAGCACAGAAGTGACAGGAAGGACAAACACCTGAATTATGTTTCCCATTGTTGTTTGTGGAATTGCAATTGTGACACAATTTAAAGCAATTGCATTGTGCTACAACTGGATTAGACTATTGTGGATACATTGAGTCTATTGTGGTTGTGACACTTTGGACTTATTCATCCTTCTTTTCTGTTTTTTAAAAGGAGATTGTAGTCTGTTTGTCCAAAAGCACACTCAGACAGTTCTTTTATCCTCTCATCTCTGTGAACTCTTGATGTCCTCACATACTCCGCAGCTGAAGTGTCTGAGATACCGAAAATCACAGCACGATAAGTTAAAAGGCACAAATCGATAAGCTGGATCACACTGTAGCTAGTGTCACTCTTTTAATGAAAGATCTAGATATGTCATGTAGTGGAGGTGTATTCTATTGAACATCCAATCTTGTTACATACATCTGTCTGTACCAGCCAATCGGGTTTATTACATGAATGAGGTTTGCTCATGATGACTGAAAGTGAGTCATAAAGTTTAAGATCCAATTTTTAAAAAAGACTACCCTGCAGAAACAAAATGCCCCTGTATTTAATTAAAGTTTAAAATATATTCATTCACAGTTATGCATTTAATATTTTTTAAAATGTCTCTATAACTATGGATTCGTACAGGTAATTGACTTTACCTGGAGACAGTTGTCAGATACAGGATCTTATTATCTGCCTGGAGACAGAATACTGTTGTTTCAATTACACTCAGTCAATATCTTTTGCCATGATGTCAGTGAAAGCTGAAACTTTCATTCAGCCATATCCCCAGTTATCGTATTAGCATGAAGGCTTCATCATTAGTCAGTAACTCAGCGCTCTGAAGTTCAATATAAACTGTCAGTTGTACAGTAGCACTTGAAGGTGGTGAGGATCTGAAGACAGAAAGTGCATGATTTTCCTTTTACTCGAATGTTGCAGTTGTTACTGCTTGTCAACTCAAAACTGCAAGATCTGAAAGTTGCATTTAAGAAAATTTTAGTATATGTGCTTAGTTACTTCTGGGCCGACAGTATGATGAGGACAAGGCTATCACTTTTATGTTGATATGCTATACTTCAATGCAGCTAACATGCTACCAGTTTAGCTTAGCACACGGGAAACACGGGAGAAACCTCTGCTAATGTAGTTTGTTAGTTGATTTTTTTGTGTGTTTTGCTTTTTATTGGGTCTTCGCAAACAACAGAAGTGCGTATTAGGTCAACTATATACCCATTATTATAGTCCAGACTGGTTTGTTGTAAATGCTATTTACACTTAAGAGCAATTAAATCAGCGGGTGTTCAGGTTAAGGTTTTAGTTTTATATATCACAAATCAACAGAAAATTAACAGATAATTTTCTAAATAATTACTCAAAACATTGTCTGCTTCAAACTACTGGTGGAGTAACATAATCCATTTAAAGATGTCACGTTTGATTTAGAAAATTCTTGATGGAGTTGTTGTTTAATGGCCAGTTTCATTTAATTATTTTTTGACGGCAGAAAGATTAGATTATTGTTTAATCTCATACACAGTTTTACAAATCCAGAAAAAGAAAAAAAAGAGGGAACCCCCCTCCCCATCTTAATTGTGGAAATCCTCAAAGTCTTCTTTTAATTTTTTTCTCTCCTGGTTGTGAGAGCAGTGGTGCAGATGTGACTTAACACACACTACACAGAAAATCTGGGTTTGAGGATTATCTGGAGATAGCTGGAGATCAATCTACATAAACCCTCCCTGGAGCCTATTCTCTCCTTCCTTCTCCTTCTCCTCTTTTTTCTCCCTGTTTTTTCTTCTTCTTCATTTTTTTCCTTTCAGAACGTGGCAGAAAGGGTGCACCCCTAGAGAACATACTGGGTAATTAAAAAAAGGGCATGATCAAAGGGGTTAGAAGGCTGTGGACTCGGTGATCATGAGGCATGTGGTCCATTCCCTGCAGTGTTCTCACAACAAAAGGTCTGCCTTGTAAGGACCAGCGTGTGTTTGTTTGCATGCAGGATGAAAGCATTGGGGCTTTGGGAAGACAACCTACTGCACACAAGAATTTGCATATTCTACATTACACTTTTGTTTTTTTCCAAACGGTCAATCAATAACCAGTCGATAATTTTTTATCTATGGGTAATGTCATGCTGAAGTTACAAAGCCAATAAGCCTACCTTGATTACGATTTGCAACACCAAGAGATGAAGCATTTGCCCGATCTGTGTAAAAATGGGAAAGGTTATGTATTACACTGGCTGTCAAATAAGTCATGCTGTTATTTAGTTAAAGCACAGGGACAGCATGCATAGTTGCTGGTTTTTACAATAATGACCTTTATCAGGCCAAAGATATGTCCAATTTTCCAGAAGATTCCTGCCATACATTTGGAGTAGTAAATGGCTTAATGTAGAATAGTGTGCATGCAGCTTAAATGAATTTTCCACAGTACAAAGATAGCAATGTGTATGCATGGTAGCTGCTTTTGTTATCCAGTATGTGGAGACACCTTCAGGCATCAACATGCAGAGGGAAGCATGGCTGGAACCACACCTTCATTTAAAAAAAAAAAAAGGTTTTCCTTTCTTTAGGGCAAATATCTGTCTGTGCGCTTAGAACAAATATTCTAGTTTGGAAAGGAAAAATCATTCTGATACACTGGCCAGACACTCGGGACTTCCACCATATTTTATAAACTCGCCAGTACCAAGATGTATCAATTGTTACCATTATTTTGCAAGTTTTCACATAATAGCTACCAAATATACATAATATTTCTAACCACCAATCCAATTTATGCATAGCTTAAAGTAATGAATATGGCAAATCTTAAGATCTGAATTTGTTTTAAACCTCAAAGATTATTCAGACTGGCTTATGGTATAATTAAAACCCAGAAATTTGATAGCTTAATTTAAAGAAGTGTAACTGATTTAGTGCCATATGGGAATTAATGCACATTGTTTTTTATTTAATATGGCAAAACAATCATTTCAAACTATGAAAACCGGCAGCATGAAATATGAAAAACTGCTGGAATGTGGAAAAGGTTTGAAATAAATTAGAGGAATGTTAAAAGGTTAAATTTTTATTAGTAGGATAAACTCTAAAGTTTTCAAACACTCTTACTTTTATGTCAGTGATCATTATTAGAACTACACTGGAGAAACTCAACCTCACGCCATGCATCGTTTCACCCCCTCAATAGACGTGGGTATTAGGATTCAATTCTACATGAGTGCCCTGGTAGGATGGATTTTTTTCCCCACTGTGGAAAACATGCTGATCAATGGTAATGGCAACGTACAGCACAATTTCTCACACAACATCATCAGTCAAACAAGAGTTAGCCATGACTGAGGGAGGAAAATATTAGTCAGCATGCCAATAAAAAAGCCTGATCAACTTACGCACTGGTCCGTGATTACTGGGAATACCTGCGGAAAGAGCAAGGAAATAATGTATCATTAACGCATTGACTCATTTCTTTTTACTCGTGAGAGAAAATATTGTTGATAGTGCTGTTTACTTTGAAAAAACAAAAAACAAAACACCAGCACTTATCACATTGATCTCCAGTGCATTTGCTGATTAGCAGCAGCTACTGTATTGCTCTAAAGAGAACCTGACCACTCCGCCTTCTTCTGATGATAATAACAGGCCTGCTGGCAACAAAATGTCAACCGAATCAAAACTCTATTGAAAAAGTCTTGTCATCAGCAGTTTCATTCATGTTTTCAATAAACAGAGTTTTTCTCTCTCATCTGCTTTTGGCTTATGTTCACCGTTTTTCAATATCATCTTTGAATGAATGAATCAACACATCAAACGTCATCTACAAATGCTAGTTGCTGTAATCGTCTTTCATTGTCAGGTTCGTGGAACTTCCTAATATGTAGCTCATTAAACACACTGGGGAAGAAGAACAACAAAAAATTACCTTCAACTGTCTTAAAACAAAACACACATTTGCAAACAATGACAACCTGACAATCCATGTGTGTTTCGATCTGGCTGTGGATTCACCATCTTTGTGTGATATTTATCACCAAGCAAATGTGACTCCAGGATTAGTGCAATTTTGGATGCCTTTCACAAGCTTTATCACTTTGCGTCACGTGATTATGTTTCACTGGGGGTTTTAATATTGTTTGCAGCCTATTCATCACTAAATTACCTGTTACAACAACTGTTGAAAAAAACGGAAAATCAGAGATTCTGAGCTCCAATTTGCAAAAAGCACATTTAGGCTGCAATTTCTCACTCATAGCTTTATGTGAGAAATGGAGGGCAAACAATATTGCCCTTTGAAGCCAAAGCACATTCTACAGTCTGATCAAACTCTCAGACCCAACCTGCCTTAACCTCTGAACCTGCTTTGGAACACAAGATGAGTTGACGCTCTTTGCAAAGTGAACTGTCAACATAATTCTTGAAGTGATTCCTCTTCTGCTCTGAAGGCAACTTACAGACAACACCCCTTTTCCCCCACCACCACCACCTACACACACACACACACACACACACACACACACACACACACACACACACACACACACACACACACAGAGCTATTTACTTCAGAAAATCATGGATTTGAATCACTCTCAGTCTTTCTGCTGCTGACAGCTATGGCCCCTAGCAACTCAGTGCACCATTTTGGGCTAAAATTTATTAGATGAAGGGTCACGTATGTCCATATATCTGCATGTACAGTGGTTTTGAATATGTAATAGACCCTGCCCTGTTCCTAGCGGTGAGATAAATGACTTCCGAGATTAAAGAGGAAGACTTGATGACAGATGAAAGCTATTAAATCGTAATTACATTTCGCATGTTCCACATATTTGTGGTAATATAAGGGCTGTATGTTTAATATCCTCATGGGAAAAATGAGCTTCACATAATAGGTAAAGGCATATTATTGGACCCAAGCTTAGAAATAAGAATCATTCAAGACTAAAGTGTGTTCGTTCAACACCTGGGGGACCAATATTGTTACGTCACTACCATGTGCAACATTATTGCATTTTATGCCACTTCCAAACAACTGCTAATATTGCTTTTGATATGGGTAGACCTTGGTTTCATCAGTTCAGTGCAGATGCGGCCAAGTGTTGGATTTTTTAATAACACCCTGTCAATCTGACAGTGAGCACCACATTGCCAGGAGATTCATAACACAGAGGAGGTGTAGGGGTAAATCCAGCAATATCTCCTTAGAGTTCACAAATGTTCCCACAAACAGACTCCCACACACAATCGAGTGTGGTGCGTGAGCGTGTATGTCATGCGTGTGCGTGCACACAGCTTAGCGTGCATACATGCAAACAGGAGACTGATAAAAAAAATTCTAATGAACGAATAATCATCCAATCCATCAATGAGAAATTTCCCTTAGAAGAGCAAGAAAACTAGTGTTACTGCACAAATTTACCAACACAGCGGATCGATAGCAATACCATATCTCTGTACAAATCTAATCATAACACGATGTCTGAGAATTCAAGTGAGACAATCAAACTGAACATCTAAAGAACTTGCTGTCAATCCCAGCAGACGGCTGCTATGAGAGTGTTTCTGACTGGAGGCTGAATCAGAGCGAATGGGGGACCAGAGGGCTAGATCTTCCACCATCTGGCCTTGCCTGGCCGTCTACCACCATATCCCTGTGTGGCTGTATTAGATTTATTGAAGCAATGAGCCCCCTGCCTCAGGCATGGGATTTGATAAATGTGACTCAACTCCAGTCCAAGATTATAATGGGGATAATGCAAAAGAGCACCTTCTGCCTCAGAGATACCAAATTCACACTTGTCATGGAGTTGAGGTAGCAATAATAAATTCAATGTTAAAGTGTTACTACTGTAGGAGGACTATTGACACTTATTTAATTGTGAATACTAAATGAATGAAATACAGAAAATAGGTTACCAGTGATGCAAAGACCCTAAGACTAACAGGTTACATTGAATTTGAGTCAGTGATCCCATTGCGTTCGCATCCCAGGGCACAAAATACTTCTATTCCGTCAGATGCAGAGATATGGACAAGGTGTCCTTTGGTGTCAGTGCCTTGACTTGCTGGCTGCAGCAATATTAGACACAGAGAGATTAAAGTTCTCTGTTAAAGCTCGCTATAGTATGCCTTACGTTTGTCAGACAGGAGAAAGCTGTCTGTGACCTGCTCAGGAGCTTTCCCCTTCCCAACATTAACCCTTCACACTGAAAAATGGAGACTTACTCAGTATGTTTAAATGTGACACCGATGAATCCTTTACATACACATACATCCATATGTCACATGTTTGGACTGAGTCGCCCATCTGGTTATTGTCTGACAAAACATGAATGTGAACAGGGTTTTTTTTCCGCTGTATTTTTCTATATTTTTTCTATACTGGCTTTGCTAACTACTTGGAAATACTTTAAAATTATTTATAAGTAGCAATTTAATACAATATCAAAATAAGAAAATTATAGGATCTGAAAAAAATCATTAGCGAGAACAAATACTAGTGCATCTAGTATTATCAAGAGCTTGATGCTGATTTCCTTTCCCAGCAGTACCAAACATCTACCCACACCACCAAAGCTACTACCAAATGGTTTGCTGACCTTCAGATTACTGTGCTTGACTAACCAGCCAACTTGCCAGACTTGAACCAGGTATTGTCAAGACAGATAAGAAACAAATGACCCAGAAATACAGATGAGCCAAAGACCGCTTTTAAAGTGCCAAAAGCTGATCTGCTCCAAACCACACCACACTTTACCAAGTAATTCTTGGTAATCTACCGAATGTTTAAATAGACATACATTTGGAAAGCTGTACATCATTTATTCTAATAAATTGAGACAATTGAGTTTTGATTGTTTTTTTGTGAAAACACAAAAAAGCTTATATTATTTGACTTTACATGAAATGAATATTGAATAAATGAAAGCTCACCCTTTTTATTTATGAATTTTTTTTCATATTTTAATGTTTTTGTGTTTATAACTAATATGTTGTAATTTCTCTTGACAAATGATTTGAGTAAACTATGTTGAAAGGCTGTGCACTCTTGGAATACCCAGCTATTCACCAGTCAGCTTGTCACAATGTAAACATGGGTCTTTTAACGAGTTTCACCTCAAATGTCAAAAATACAAGTTATACTACTGATCATTGTCAAATATGATGTGACATGCAAGTCCTCAGTATGCAGTTTGTTAAATCTACAATGCATTAGAAAACATAGTCAAAAAACTAGGCTACAAACAGCATCTGGCAAAAATGCAGTGCAGTGGCAAAGAGCTGAAATCATAAAGAGGCAGAATAAGCTCTCAAAGAGAATGAAAAAAGATGTTTCATTGTGGCTCCCTTTATTGGTAACAAGCAGCAAGAGTGGAAACAATGTGCTGCCAGCCACTTGCAAATTAGCTGCATGGCCAGTGCTTGTCCACATAGCATTACAAGCGCTTCCGTACTTACATATATTTGCAGTTCCTTTGGGTATAGGGAGGTAGGACCCCACACTCCAGGCTCTTCCATGGTAGTGCTTCTTACAGCGGCTGCAGTCTGGCCCTGTGGTGTTGTGTTCACACTCACAGCCCAGCTTCCCCTTGTCAAACACACAGCTGTTGGCATGCAGGTTACACTTGCACCTGAGACACAAGAATAACAACAAAAGACAGAGACATGAATAGGCATCATTCTGCATCCATTGAATCAATACTTTCTGGAGGGAATATGCATACCCTGCCCTCAGTATGTTTTTTTGCAGCTTTCAAAGTTTTTGACAGTGGTAAATTAAAATCCTGGTGGGTTATCTGACTTGGATCGTTCCTCCACAAAGCTTCATTATGCTCTCCTTTAAAAAAAACAAGGCCTCATTTGTTACTGCCCCTGCGGAGAGAACGGCAATGCGAATAAGGTCACTTTTGCCACTCTTGCTCTAAATGAAAGGCACTCTGTAAGATTCGCTAATTGAGCACAAAGCAGGGATCTGATAGAGAGATGATACAATAAAGAGAAGCTGGGCAGCCAGAGAATACTCCTTTTTTCTTTCTCTTCAAAGTTATTTGGCAAGGGAGCTTCCAGGCAGGAAACCCTACCAGTTGGCAAAGCTGGTTTATTAGACCGAACTGTGGCAGAGCTGACAGATTCTCCTGACAGGAGAAGAGAAAAGGGCGGATGGCTTTCAGGCGCTCCAAATCCACCTCCCTTCTGACCACATGGAAGAAGCATGCGCCTATGCTTGCTGAAAAAGAACAAGCTGTTTGCAATTTGAGTCTCCTCTGAGTGTTTCTAAACAACCTGAATGAGCAGACAGTAAACTACGTACACTTAGAATATAACCTTTTTTCCATTTGTGTTAACTCCAAGGAAAGAGCTCTACCCGAGGCAGAACAAGCTGTTTTTGTCGCCAAATGAGATAATACAGTTTCATATAGTAAGTGTTCCAAATATAATTCCCTTTATTTGATTTCAGTCCCATGAGGGTAAAAGGTTACAGCTAGTGACCTCAGATCTTGTAAGGAGGAGGGCACTGATACAGAAACAGCTGGGATGCAGGCCATTGAGTGAATCTGACACGGGAGACCTCCCCAGAGGTTTGGTCAGCTCATGGTTTCACATCATGCCTATGTTTGTTTTTACAATGTGCTTCCGAGGGAAGATTTCTCTCATTTGAGAGTCAGGATCTGGGTATCTGTTTCCTATAATCACCGCTGAACATGAGACAAAGAAATAGCAGCAGCAATCTGAAATACATCTGTTCTAATTGACTTTCTGGCCTTACTGTGACATCTCACTTTAATGATAGATAACTGCGGGAAACAAAGGAAACTAGACCCCGTCTGGTATTGCTGTTAAACAGAATTAGAGAGTCAGTGAATAAGCTTTAAAGGAGCGGTTCTCAAACTATTTCTGCCATGGCCTACTTCAATCAATACCAACAAAAGAAGCTCAAAAGTGTACTTTACATAAAATAATAGTAGAATTTAGATAAAAACAGGACATTAAATAACCATCAGCACAATAATATCAGAACTATTTTAAAACTAGGATTTAGACTTTCCTTTTTTACTTACAGTATGTACAATGACAATTGGATAAACTGACCCTGAATCCAACCCTAGTTATGCTACATTACTTGGGCTACTGGGGCTTTCCATGATGCGTGAGTGTTTCTCCTTCTCTCATACTTTTTCACTCATGCTGCGTTTATACACAACTTTAGTAGTTTTTATTCATCTCTGGTTCTCACATGTCTTTGTCCTGTCTCCCTCCCTTCTCCCCCAAACCATCGTGACTTGTGTGACATCGTGACATTGATGTCGTCACATCCTTGTGACTGCTTCTGCTGGAGGATTCTTCCTGTTAAAGGGGAGTTTTGCCTTTCCACTGCCTCCAAAGTGCTTGCTCAAAGGAGATCATCTTTGTATTATTGCAGGGGCTTTACCTTACAATATATAAAGTGCCTCGAGGTGACTGACTGTTGTGATTTGGCTGTGTATAGATAAAACCGAATTGAATAGAAAAAGTCTCTATCTATCTATCTATCTATCTATCTATCTATCTATCTATCTATCTATCTATCTATCTATCTATCTATCTATCTATCTATCTATCTATCTATCTATCTATCTATCTATCTATCTATCTATCTATCTATCTATCTATCTATCTGTGTCTAAATGCACGCACACAAATCATCTTTCCTCATTAGCAACCATTATAAATTGCGATGAATATTGGACGACAATCACAGCAATGAAATACTAGTGCCTCTTACCACGCATTCCCTATAGTCCTTAACTTTTTAATCAATTAAAGTCCCCGCTTCATAAAATTAATGACTGGGTGTAGCTCTTCTGCCATGCAGACAGCATCAGCTCCCTGAAGTCAAGAGCGATGAGATTTGACCTTCCACTTAATTAAAAACCAGCAAAATCTGGATCATCAGGCCCAACCGGTGCAGCTAGCAGGCTGATAGAGTAGAGGATGTGGACTCGGGGGAGCTTGGGGATGTGACGCTTTTGCCACTGGCAATGTCATATTGAAATCAGAGAATTTTATTTTTTAATAAATGGTTTTGGCCACAAGAGGAAAGCGGTCCCCTGTAATTCCAACCTATTGAGCTCAAAACACTATAAAAACACATTTTATAATTGCTGGTTCAGTACTGATATAGGCGTGTTTTGTCTGCAGTGAGGGGATTATTAAACAATTACAACATGAGCATCTCAATAAATACAAATGACACAAACAGGTAACTAGCACTAAAATATTAAAATCTTCCCATCAGTCAATTATGCAACAAAGTAACAATGAACTCTATTTCAAATGCCAAAACAGCTGACTGCTGCTGTGCAAAGAAAGAAAAATTTTTAAAATGTGGTAATTTAAAAGGAGCAACACTGCAGATTTAACAGGGTGGAATAGATGTTTCATCCTACTACTGCTGTCAACAAAACAAAACAAAATAAAGCAAAAGGAGTCTTTAATCTTGACATTAAAAAAGAAGACATTATAATACTGCTAATTTTTGCTACATGTGGAAAATAAAGAGACATACGGATCTTGATTCCAACTAAATTTGCTGCCTGCTCATGCAATTAGCAAATTATTAAGCAAGATGGATTTTTGGTTTATTTTCTGTTGATACTCTCGAGTAGACAGCAGAAGTGCCTTTTCTTCTCCTCTGGCTGCTGCCTAACCTTGGCTTCTCCTAGCTGCTTGGCACTGTGTTGACAGGCTCACTATGTCTAACACAGCTTTTCTTCCCTGTGACAGCTTCTAGCATCACTGATTCAAGACAAGAGAGAAGTACAGAACTTAAGTTAAATAGAGAGCCTGAACTGGCAGGTTAGAGAAACTTTCTTTTTGTTTTTATTATAGTTTTTCTTTCTTTTTTCATTTCCCTTTATTACATTTTTGTTGCTAACCGTCAAATTGGATTTTCCAAACGGAAAAAACCCCCCATTAATTTATCTACTAGAGTGTAGTTTTACTTCAGACAAATACCTGTAATTACTGCTGTTTTCTACAGTTATATAAACGTATTATTGTGAAGCAGCACTGACTAATAAACCACTGTAATAAACTATTTTGATAAAAATTATATTTTTATTACAATTTCATTTAAGAAAACATTTCAAACATTTTAATAACAAGAAATCTTAGTTGAGAAAAGAGGCATCACACTAGGTACCTACTAATTTGTGCTTATTAACATGAATAATAAAAATGTAATTCCACCCCCAAAATTGACTTCTTGGACAGTCTGTTAGGAACGTTACCTTAAAGAATCATATTAGATAATTCCCTTTAAAATGCAATACAATCATGGTCAAGTGATTGAATTCCTTGAGTTAGTTCCTTAAATTATTGTCACTTTCGATCTAAGACTAGATATCCACTTAAAGAGGTCAAGGTGACCACAGTTGGCTTGTGGAGCCAGCCTCAAGTGGGCACTCGAGGAACATAATGTTTTGCTTCTGCACTGGTCTGAATCTGAAAAAATATATACTTCTTTTTTCCTTTTGACAAGCTATATAAGCTAAAGGACCGGTATGAATGATATAATTGATGGGTGACAAATTCAATTTAGCTGTCATGGTTTCAAGGTCTCATTGGTTACTGCGGGCTCTCTAAGTGCATCTTGATCTAGCTCTTTTTATATTCACTTTATAAAAAAAATCTTTCAGGTTTGTGTGAAAGGCAAAGTTGATGTGTTATTGAACAAATAAAAGTAAGAAGTGACAAAGTGCAATGGAAACAGACTTAAAAAAATCATTTTGTGAGATTACATTTTCTGCATTAGTTTAACGGCACTTTCAAGATACAGTTAAGATGAAAGAGAAACCTGTCTGCAATTTATGTTTTCTGAAGCACTTTATTAGGACAGAATCAATATTATTAGTAACATATATACTTTTCCTACAAATTTTCCATGTTGAAAAGGTCTGCTGGTGCACTGAGTCTGGCCTTTACCTTTTATAATTCCGAGGATAGCGCTGCTAACTTTAGCCTGAACATAGGTCCAGTCAATCAAGTGTGCTGGTGTGCAGGAACATGTGTGCAGACCACTGACATTAAAGAAGATGTTGGTTATATATAAACTTGTTCCAGTAATATTTTACTGTTAGCAGATTAATAAATCACCAAATCCATGTCTACCAAAAAGCTACATAAAGCTTAAATGCTACAAACTCTCTGTTTCTAACTTATTTCACATCTTACTTTTTTATCTTAGGTCCATCCATCCATCGATCCGTCTTAGTTATTTATCTAATGAGTCTATCACGGCTGTCACAGGGCAAGAGACAGGATATACCCTCCACAGATCCCATTCCATCACAGTGCTAACACAGAGGGACAGACCATTTACAGTCCCATTCACACCTATAGCCAATTTTGAATCACTAATTAACTTAATAGCAGGACTGTAGGAGGAAGCTGGAAGCCCTTTTTTTTCTTTTACCACTTCAATTAATTTGTTGCTGCTATAAATATTATTTCATGTTAATGTGTTAATGTGCGATGTGCCTTGTTGTAGCTGGTTCAACTTGGATTCTTGAAATGATATAATTTACTGTGGTTGCATGCAAACTAACACTTCTACATAGTTAGGATATAAACTGCTAGAGCGTTGTCCACT